ATGGCTGACTTCATATCTGTTGCTTCATGGTAGTGCGGCGGTACACAACCCACTCAAGGATTCGCCGCCACTGCGCTGTTATAATAACAAATCGTGATGAATCTAAACTAGTTCTCGTCTTAGTTATATTAATGATTTTTGTTGTTTCTGAAATTGAGAAATATCACACGTTATCTACGAATAAAAGACAACAGTTGGGGTTCAAATAATTGAAGTTATTGCAAATGTTATTAAATGGAGGTCTGTGTGGATTGGTCTTAGTTATCGGAAACTCTGTCCCATTAGTGAACACAATACATATGAGAGGTAATGTGTTTGCTTCTTAATAATGAAAATGACTCGCCCCTTTATCCCCCCTATTTCACGTCTTTCCCGTCACAGTCAGGGGTGGGACGCATAATGCTCTCGTCGTTCACAAATTGCATCAAATTGCACCAAATTTTCGTCTTCCTTTTCCGTTACCCGACTATCAAAACCTAAACGTTTGAGTTGAAAGAATAGTATTACTAATTGAGGCAGCGTTCAGTATTTTCTCTTTCTTTCGCGTTGTAAGTGAAAAAAAATGGAGCATTCGTTTCGGCATATTGGGATGTTTACACCATGTCTTCCACGTCAATTCTTCCGGGTTTTCAATGTGCTTGGTTATAAGGAGTCAGGCTGCGCTTTACGTAAGAACGAGTAGATTATTGCGTGAAGAGAAGTGAGACAATCTAGTCTGCGGAATCACTAGCTTTCTCTCGCTCGACTTCACCGCTCAGTTGCCTTCATTACCGAGAGTCAAAATGATAATGATGTCCGAGGTAGACTTACTCGAATGAATACGTACATCATTTTAAGGTGACGGAGACGCGGTTTTCTGTAGCAGTCTTCCTTAGTTCAAAGGTGCTTTGTATGTGTGCTGTTTTTCATATATGCATAGGCTTCGTATTTCCACGCACACATGCGCTAGTCTCAAGTCGCATTTCCGTTTAACGACAACAGTCTTGTCACAGCTTATTAATATGGGTTTTCACATCGTTAAAATTGTTATTATTATTATTTTTCATTTCAAGTCATTTCAAATCAGCCACAATGAATGATAATCCAACGCAATCTTCATCCTAGTGGCTGGGCAGTGCATAGGTACGATATCGTGATCCGGCTAACGTCAGTTGTAATGAGTGTAGCGTAGACTACAGTGTCTGCTCAGAACCGACAAAATCTTCGAAAGCCTTTTTAGTATATATATATATATTGTACGTTATCATTAACTATATCGCATACGTCGCTATTTCTTCTTTGATGGGGGTGAGTTCCATTGGTGAGAAAGGTCCGGAATCACCGTCCAATGAAGAAGTGGACGATGATGGCGACAACGGGGGTTGCATACCTTTGAAACACGCAGATTCGTAATGTTTGTTCAGGTATGATTTTAGAGCAAACGACTTGTTACATCTCTTGCATTCGTAGTTTTTGTACGCCGAGTGCGTTTGCATGTGTGCCCGCAGGTTGGATCTATCGGCGAACGCCTTTCCACAATGTGCACAACCGAACGGCTTCTCACCTGTGTGCGAACGCATGTGTCCTTGTAGAAGCCATGGCCGGCTGAACGACTTCGTGCAAATGCTGCACCGATGCTTCAGGTTGTGTGTGAGCACGTGCATTGCCAGGGCAGGCATACTGACGTACACTTTGTCGCACGTAGGGCACTTCTTAGCCAGTTTACTGTCCAAACTTCTGTGCGTTTGCTTATGCCTTGATAAATTCGACGACGTCGCATAGTGCTTGCCACATTCGTTGCATTTATACCGTTGTCGGTTCTGCTCGTCGCTGCCGACAAGAGCTGCTCTAAGACCTTTCCGTGAACGACCGTCAGTTATGAGAAGCGCATCGTACGCAACCACCGTCTGCTCTCCATTGAAATTATTCTTTTTAAATTCTTCTATTTTATCGTCAGATTCCCCCTTGATGCTCAGGTCGGATACATCGTTATTGTTCTGTATATCACTGACGGGTATCAGGTCGTGAATATATCCTGTTTGTATACAAAATTATGAAGAAAAAAAAAGAGAAATACTAAGAGCAGTGTCAACAACGAAGCGATGAGCACTTACATGTGAAGAGCTTACATCCTCGAATAAACGGTAAAAACAAATAGCTATGGAAAAGAGTTATACGGCGGGAAGCAGCAGCATAAACGTGTTCAGTGAATCGCCGGGCCTTCTTTCATATATTCGTACATAGATTTGACGTAAAAAAAAAAAAACGGGGAAAAAACTTACCGTTGTTTAGACGGACACTAATACTGTTCAGGTATCGGTTGCTCATCGCTAATGGCTGAGTCTGTGTCCTGGATTCGACGTGCGACGACGCATCTTCCGATTTGGTTATCTTCACAAGAAACGATCGCGGCATGGTTAGTGAGTGCTTGGAGAACAACGTGGACGCGAGTGTAAGCAACACAGTGATTCGTTACCGAGTGTCGATGTAGGTTTGTTGGTTGTTTGTTTTATAGTCGAAGTGGAGTAACTGTGATCAGGTGGTGTTGGTAAATGGAAATACTTAAGCCTAATCCATCAGTGGCCCCACGAGATCTTCATGGAAATTAGCGAACAAAAACGCAGGGTTTGCACGCTCTAATACGAATTTCAAGTCGAATTAAAACCCCAGGTAACGGTAGCTGTCAGCGACTGTTATTCACGGAGAGGTTAAGCAAGCCAAATGATTACACGTAGATGCTTCGGCAAACAGCGGTGAAATTAGTAGATGCGGCCCGACTCGTTGTTTGAATGCGTGTGTGCGTGCGTGCGGTGAGTCTAAGTCATTCGAATCGGACGTATGGTGTTCTGACTTTCCGAGGTGAGGTTGAAAGATGCAACTCGGAGTGCACGGTATTCAGGGAACACGCGTGACACGGTGTGTATGCCGAATGGTTACGCAGAATGACAGCGCGGTGACGTTCGATGGATAGACTCGACAGAGACTGAGGAGCAAGAGACGTCTCTCCTCTTTATAGTTACCCGAGATAACAATCACTTTCCCTGTCTTCTTTTGTTCCGTATTGTTGGTGCCCACGTAGTAGTACACATTCATTTACAACTGAATCACAGTATTCTAATTAGGTCGATCTGTGCATTACTCTCCCCTCGATCGATATAGGATGGAATCGCCTGCATGCACATTGATTCGTGAGTATAAAAAACAATCCTAACTGCATCTAGCACACTGACTACAGCTGCTTAAGCAAACAGATAAATAAAATTACGCAGTTTACACGTTCATACTGCTACTGGTGTCGTTATTTTGTTTTTATCCGGGCGCACACCGAGTTGCCAGTCGCTAGTGAAATCTGCTGTGTTTGGCTGACTCTGAGGCCTGGCTTTGTGTTGCCCATTTACATGACTTCCTGCAGCTTTCTCTCTAATATGGAATATTAAATATTTTACTGTAAGCGAGTTTAACAGGAAAACGCTCAGGTGTTATTCATTTCTAAACAGACTGGTTTGACATGCAATAATTCGAAATTTCTTCCTTTTCATTCAGCTTCGTTTCCCGTTCTATGTCTGGGTTTTCTCGTTAGCACTCGTGTATCAACCAGTTGAATTAGACTCGAACACCTGTTGGTCGGCACTAAAAATAAAATTGCAGCGTACATAAACCAATGTTCTGTACAAATGCCTACTAATATCCAAATGGAGTAAAATTACAAATTACATATCGCTGTGTAAACGCCCGGGAAATTAATATTTTGACGTATGTGTCTGTGTCAGTTTTCTTTCTATGTCATCGCTCGCCCGATCGGATTAGGGATTTGAAGTTTGTTTTTCTTTTCGCTAATGTTTGGTGAGGAGGCGTTTTTTTTTCTTCTCTCGTTTAGTATATCTTATATATACCGTAAGCTTCACTCAAAATATACTGAATGCATCGACTTGTAGCAGAATAGAGTGATTCACACTGATGGTGATGAGGCGCGCAACCCGAGATATCAGAAATCCACTCTGAGTCATAGAATGTCTTTACGATATTCAATAGACTCTCAATAATGTACATGTATTTTGTAATGTACATTAACTGGTATGTGTGCGTGACATTTTTTTTCTCAATAGACGCATTGTGACAATACGTGTACCGCATCGATGTAAACCCATTTACAGTTATCGTGTATCACGGCTTCTTCAGTTTCCGTTCGATATTCGCCCCTCTTACGCTGCCTGTCTCAATTCTCATGCTCTCTTCCTTACTGTTTCCCTATCCCACTTTTTTTTGCATGGTAGGAGGTGAGCTGACTAGAGATGACGAATCGAACTGTCAGTCGTACATTGGTTTGGAGTCTCTCCGTCATTATAATCGATTCACTGAAGACTGCATGGGGTAAACATGATACAATATGATGTTAATGGTATGGGTCCCACCGAGTCAACTGCGACGCGATAAAACAACGCATGAGGTACATCGGTTGGGGTCAGACAAAGATAACATACACCATTACGCGTATCCCAATTTTTTTTTTCACCCGTCGCCAATGATTGATTTGCCTGTGGATATTATAGAAATGGTATGTTTCGTGCCATTGCACTGCAGACCACGTACCGATTAACTAACTTTCAGGGAATTGTAACATTTATTTGGTTTCAAACGAACAAAGGGTGGTTTTCCCGAAACTTCAAGGATTTGCTTCATTTTGCGCAATGTTGTTTTTGCCAGCTGGCTCGGTTTTCGGATCTATTACCCCCCCCCCCCCACGAAGTAGTTTGTAATAGAAAAAGAAAATTTCCAAAAGATTGTTCATGATCGCAACCGTAATAAAATTCAACCACATTTCGCGTTTCCTGTCCCATGTCGCTTCTACGTTTAAATTGTTCATTGTCGATTATCATACACGCGGCTTCATTTTCTGTTGTTTTGACTTTGCGCCCAATTTATCGATGCTCATTTCTTCAATTCACCGGCGAACATCCTAAGCGCAGCGCACAATTACGTAAACAATGGGCGGCCACTTTGTCGCGTTTCCGGAATGGCTCACTTACATAATACTCTGTGGACAAATATCTAATCAATTTCTTTTTTTCTGGTTTCCCTAATCAGGATGTTGACGGAATGGTAACGGTTTGTTCATTACGCCGCAAGTGAACTAAACAGCACGCCGCTCTAAGCCCAATATATGATCGATGCAGGCGACAACTTTTTACGAGAGCAATGAATTACAGTGGTACGGTGACAGTTTGGTTAACAAATCTTAGTGTAAATGCACAAAGGCACACTATAATGCCATTTTTTTTTTTTATAAATGCCGCTCTTCGTGATTTTTTTTTTTTAGATTGTTATGGTTTTGTTTTATTTTTGAAGTATAATGTCAACTGCGCTTTTACAAATCATATTATTTGAACAACATCAACAAAATACATGTACATGATGTTAAACTATGAAATGAACAGTTTGGTTATTTTTCAGATTTCTCAAATGTCGCTTTGTACATCGTAATACTAGCCGCATACATGTTTTACCTGTGACGATGATTATACCACGGTCAATCTATCAGACAGATAGAGGAAATGCGAATAAATAATATGAAAAGCTTTAAAAAATATCGATATCGGTCCAGGGAAGAGCCCCCCCCCCCCCCCCATGGACGTGCCATCTTCAGTATTACGCCTTTGGGATACGTACTAAAAAAGAAAACTAGCGGACACAATACCGGTTTACGCACGCACCCTCCTCTGTCCCATATCACCTTCCTTAATTGACAGACAGCGGCGAAGTTCACGTTAAAAGAATACCGCACGCGACACTTTGTGTACATTAGTACCGCTTTGAGAGGCTTACAACAAAACAAGTAAAAGACACAAACATCGGAACCGCCTAAGTAACAATGACAGCCAAAAAGGTGGAGGCAAATTGAAGTGAAGATGAAATCGCTTTTTTGTTTTGTTTTTCCACAAAGGGCACAGTTGTATGAATAGATGTTATAAAAAGAAAAGCCAAGGTTACCCTGAGAAAACAAAGCCATACAATACACGTATATGTATACCATTAATCAATGCTGACAAAGGAAACAATAGGCAACCTGTCCCGGTGCAACTATCAAGAGAGGAAAGTCCAAATACCATTTATATTCAGATGAACAATCTTCAATTCGTTCATATTCAGATGAACAATTATTAATGGAAGCTTCCCTCGATGGCATTGGGTGGGATTTTTTTTCCTGGATCTGTGATGGAAAGAAAGAAGCTTCTCAAAGCACGCCAGCATGCGTTTTTATTAATCAAAGCATGTCAATTTCAGAAACGCTTGAGGTCACTACTGACCCCGAGTAGCCCAGTTGTAAATTTCCATCACCTTACGACAATTGTTTTTTTCCTTCCAGTGAGTGACGTACTAGTATTTCGTTGGTTATATTATATTATATTATATTATATTATATTATATTATATTATATTATATTATATTATATTATAAATTATTTTATATTATATTAAATTATTTTATATTATATTATATTATATTATATTATATTATATTATATTATATTAGAAATTATTTTATATTATATTATATTATATTCTAGTCGAATTTTGTAACTAATAATTACGTTAAACACAATTCGTTACAAATACATTAACTACATTGAAACATGTCCGAAGGACTTAACATAGAGATGGTGGCACGATAAGACAATGCCGTTTCTGCATGCTAATGGATTGTAATAGTACTTAATTGCGATGGCGCGTGGCTATAATATATAATAATATCGTCTTTTTCAAAACACACGCACACCTTTCAGCATTCGTTAAAATATATTACACTAAATATATTATACACCCGAAAGCCAACAACCGAGTCTGCTGATACCGAATCGAACTTTGATATTACATGTATAACTAATGCTGGAGTATCGCTTGTTCGCAGTGGTCCATTGGTCGATGCCAAACCTCAACATGGATTTGCGCCCGTTATATACGCGTAGGACATTTAGTTCACCCCAAACAAAGACACGTGTTCATCTCGCCCATACGATTACAGATTAAATTAATTGAACATATACATGCATCGGATGTGTGAAACAGTTATATACCAGGTCCCAGGCATAACATCCCTACCCTATCGACGATTTGTATGCGCCACCACTGGTCCATTTGACACCTTGTCAGTCTGGGAATAGCAACCCCGTCCTAACAATGTTTAGTATGTACCACACTGGCCCAGCCAACAGGTTATGACCGGGATCATATGGTGCTGTTAATGTTTAGTATGTATTACACTAGTCGTGGCCATGGTATTTTAACCTTTTAAATGCTTAGCCACACACCACACTGTACTAGTCTACATGAAGCCACAGCCATGGTTTCTCCACATTCTCCACATGGGGAACACCAGGTCACAACTATGGTATCTGCACTTGAAGAATGCTTAGCCACACACCACACTGGTCAAGTCTACATAAAGCTACAGCCATGGTTTCCCCA